GCAGACTTTTCTTTGCTTTTCTCTCCTGTGCCCTTTTCTCACTCCGTGTGCGTGCCACTGCGTAGATGGGGTGTTGGTACTTTTCAGGGCCTGTGAGAAGAATGTTATCGAGAGGGCTGGCTGCCCAATTTAATATATGTCCTGGTAGAAGGACGAAATTATTTCTCTGTGATCCTTTTCCTACCTAATGGTCCTTTGGAAGGTCCCGAAGGAAGGAGTTGAGGAACCGATAGCGGCAGAACGAATTTTATTTTTATTTTTATTTTTGCCATCCACCCTCTTTGATTTGGACCCTGCGGCGGGGTGTTGTGGCTGGAGGAGCCCAAAGCCCTCCATTTCGTAGGTAATAAATATCTCCAACCCGAATACACTGCACCGTGGCACGAGAGTGCCTGTCAGAATACAAAAATATATTTGGGAAAAACATTGAGGATGTGGCGGGGCCGCTGCCTTTTCATGACCCTCTTCTTTGCCGTCCTATTTTATTTTTACGGATCAGTTGAGGATCTGGCCAGCAGCCCCGGCGAACATTTTTCCGTGCCTCGGCGTTATTTGCTCTGTTTATTTTGTTGTTGTCTGTGTGTGCGTTGCGGTAATATGTGGTGCTGCACCTTTCTCCCTCTTGTGACCGCAGCGTCTCTTTGCCTCTCTGCTCTTCTCTTCTCCTCTTCCTTCTGTTTCTCCTGCGGACAAGGACTCTTCTACCACTACTAATACCACTGCTGCCCGCGCCTCCGGAACAGACACATTGTCCCCAAGCCATGCGCCAGCCACGCCGCACCGCGCTGCTGCTGCCGCCGTGGCTCATGATGGTGGTGTGTTGCGTTGGTGTTTGCGTTGCCGCCGATCCCGCCGTGAAGCACCGCTGTGGGTTTGACGCGATGATGAAGAAATACGGCCGGCTGCCGACTGCGGTGGTGCGTGAGGTGCCGCGCCGGGGACAGGGCGCCATGCAGGCGTACACCGCCGCCGGCGAGGATGGGGACGATGGCTGGGCTCCGATCCGCATCAAGGTGTCCGCGGAGGACATGTTTGACCCGTTGAGGCACTGCACTGCGGTGGGGGATCTGCGCATTGACCACGGAGGCCGCGCAATAACATGCGAGGCGGACGACGTGTTGACGGAGGAGAGGAGGAACATTGTTTTGAGGCAAACTCTCCCCGCCGCAATTCAACTGCACTCGGAGCGTCTCTCCGTGAGGCCCGTGACGCGCCCCGTCGTTATTCCACAGACCGGTCTGGGTTTGTGCGATAAATTCACCATCCCTCGCAGGCACCGCACGGTGGGTGTGGCTGGCGCCGACATGATTCTTTACGCCAACATTTTTCCGACTTATGGTCCAGCCGCGTGGGCGGTTCAGTGCTCCCTGCTGGATGATGGCCGTCCATTTGCTTCTGCCGTGAACTTTGACCCGAAGAAATTGGCGGTGACAAATGAGTACGTGCGTTTGGTAGCCCACGAGTTGGGGCATGCTCTTGGGTTTGGACGGGATGTGTTTTTGCTGTTAAATATGATTTCCGAGGTCCCGAACGTGCGCGGGAGGCCCAAGGTATCGGTGGTTTCGACGCCGAACGCGAAGGCAATGGCGCGTCAGTACCACAGCTGCCCCACGCTTGAGGGCATTGAGCTGGAGGACGAGGGTGGTCCCGAAAGTGTACTGTCACATTGGAAGAAACGCAACACGAGGGACGAGCTGATGACTAGTGATGTGGGGGTTGGGCTGTACTCGGCACTGACGCTTGCAGCATTTGAGGACATGGGTTTTTATTTGGCAAACTAC